GATAATGACCAAGGTATATTTATGTGATGTTACTAAATATTTATGATAATATGACATTAAACGCAAGTGTAAGTAGCCAATAGTGACATGAATACGTCTTTGTGGCGGGAATATGGCCTTAAATGGCGAGTAAGTAGTCAATAGTTGCATGAATACGCCTTTGGGGCGGGTATACGACTATAATGACAAATAAGGAGCCAATAGTGGCATGATTATGCCTTTGTGGCAGTATGTGGCCATAATGGCTATTAAGTAGTTTTACTGGCAAACATGTACAAATGTGTAAAGTGATTTTGGTTATAATTGTTGCAAATGCTTAGTTGATGACATATGATGTATGCTGATGAGTGGTAAGGTTTTATGTTAGTATCCATGTTAGTTCCTTGTTAATTGAGCATGTATTATATGATTTTGTGTGGAGTACGCCTTTGTTAGAGCTTGAAGTCTACTGTTATGTCCTAGAGGGTCGAGGAGTTTAGTGGAGTCTTGATATTATATTTTGTATTTTTTTTGTACTTGTAAATATGTACAGTTGCTAGATGTCAAGCTTTTAACATTTGGTAGGAACTAAATGGGGTCTTATGTAAATGTAATACGAAGATGTTGTATGTGTGGATTATGTATGTATCAAGGAATGTTTGGTTGTTAATTAAGTTATGAAAAATTTTATATTATGTGTACGTTGACAGAGTGTATGATTGATGAGTGGGATCTACCATCCGGATGTAGACAATACATATTATTTTTCGGGATGGGGTGTAACAATAAGTATATATATATATATATATATATATATATATATATATATATATATATATATATGCACATATTCTAGAAGTGCAAGTGTCAAAGAAACAAATCAGAGATGTGGCTATAGGAAAAAAAAAACGAAGAGATGTGTTTTAATCATAAGAAAAAAAAAACAAAGCATATGGATTAAAAATGGACATTTCTCCCATGAGGTCACTTGGCTCACCAAAGCTTGGTGACGTGAGGGAGAGAAAAACCTTGAAATGTTGGCCAAAAATAGCCATGCTCTAGTCATTTGAACGTCACAACAAAATCAGAGAAAAAGGATGGAGAAAGGAAGAAGTAGAGAGGAAAGAATAGAAAAGGGAGAAAATGGTCGAAATTTCGATAGCATGAGAGGTCGTCATCTTGACAAAAAATTTTGGTAAGAATGTTGAATTATGATCCAATAATTTTATGGGCCCAAATCACCTAAATTTAATCCTCGTTAATTATTTTTGGATCAAGTTCAAGTATCATTATTTACTTCAAAAATTATTTTTAAGTTAACTAAGCCATTATTACTTGTTTTTATTCTAAAATATTATGTTGTTTTGTCTTACCACAAGACACGGTATTTATACCAAGTCGCAATAGATGTAGAGTTTTTTTTATCTTTTACTGTCATTGATGCATCTCATGCATATTTCGGAGTTTCATATAAAACCTCTTTTAATTATATAATGTAATATTTATCGCATTAATCATGGGGTTGAATTCGAGTTTTATCAATAAATTATGATCATGCACAAGATATATTTTTATATCGAAAACCATGATTATATTTCAAAACCAAGAGTATAAAATGTTTGAATTTTAATTTGTCATATTTGTTTAATGTGTGACTTCCTACTTGATGTTAAGTGCGAATACGACATAACCCTACTATATGATATTGATGAATTTACTTTGGATGTGCATAATTGATGGTAGTGGAAATTATTTGTTTAATAGGTGATCATTGCGATGATTCACAGGGGTCCTACTAGTTCTTGTGTTCATTGATTAGTAATATCGGTTGTCGTGGCTAGTTTAGGTTACACTACATAATTTCCAGTATTAGTGTTTTCAGAAAAACAAGAAGGGCATCGGGTTCCCTAAAGTACAAGGCTCCAAAGTTTTTTTCGAGACAAATCATGCGTGGACTAGAAAATTGACGAATTGATATGATTTATATGTGTTATATTCTCTTGATTCTTTAAATTGACATATTCCTGCATTTACTTGTTGTTCAATTATATTATGTACTATTTTAAAACCTTGATAGTCTTTGATAAATATTATCTTATTGGGCTAGTGAGTTCATCTCTATTTATCATTTTTTAGAAACATGAAGCAAGTCAAGGGAATATGCTGGAGAGACGGCTGATAGAAATTGTTACTACTATTTCTCTTTATGTCATTTCAGAATGTTTTATCTGATTGAGTAGGAATCATGTTATTTTTATTAGCTCAGGAATGTAATCATACGCAGAATGTATTAATAATAATATAAGGAAGGTTATTATGAGTTATGTCCAATTTTATTCCTTAATCAGGTCCAGTTATTTTTTGGGAAAAAAATTGGGGCGTGACAATACACCCAACACTGGCCAAGGTCATTTGAGTACCATTAGCTGCAAACACAAATATAGATGGAGGAGAGATGATAGATGCAAATAAGGAAGAATCATTTGTCATGTGATGTATAACATTTAAATCAAAGACCTAAGCGGTTCGAGATATACTTAAAGGACTCAAAGAGATAGAGATTCAGAAAGTATTAGGCTGCTGGAAAAGTTTTTGCAACTAATCAACAATCATAGTCTGAAGAAAGTTAGTGTTTCCACTAGCCATAATTGCAATTAACCCAAACCTACAGCCTAAAGCTCCAAAACTCAATGTAAGGATGACCAAAATTCAAAAAGATCAAAGTCTATAAGCGAAGACCAATCCAAACCAGCAGCCAAGACAACTAGCAACCACACCAACAGTTAAGCCCAATGCCAAATTTATGGCCAATAACCAACAATCAAACAATAGTGAACCCAAAATGACACCCAAATGTGATCAAAAAGCCTATCAGATGCAAAGCCCAAACTATTAATATTCTCAAAATCCCATTAATCAAAATTCTTACATTGTCCAGACTACCAAACCAACCAAGCTAAAAGCAGAATGACGAAGATATAACTTTACAACGAAGAAATAGAGCAAACTAGTAGCAAAAATCCAGCAAACCAGCAACAAGGGATGAAAATTGCATTCCAACAAAGCAGCGGCAACGTTCGAGACTAACAGAGCATACAACAATCAAATTACTTGAGGTTAAACAACTTGAAGTTCATCACAAATCAACTCAACAGCTTTAGAAATCAAATACCCACAACCAATTGATGTTTGTTACACAAAAATACAACAAAAAATGAATTGTAGTACTGTTCACAGCATGAACAGTAACTTCGGGTATTATTCACAGCCTTTAGAACCACAAAAAAAATAGTAGCTCGTCAACCATTAGCCTCAAATCACACAACCAAGAACCTCTAGTTACACTACTTAGGCTTGGTTTGAAGTAAAGAAATCGAAAAAAATAGCAACAAATCCCCATAGATGATGTCAACCCTAATTCAAGGACATATTCGTTCTCTAACTAAATTAATCTGGTGCTACAATATGTTTTGGGTCGAAACCATACTCTAATACCATGAAAATTTTGGTTAAAGAAAGAAGAGCGAAAGGAAGAGAAAATATTATTATTGTTAAACAAGTCTGCAAATGCAATTTAACCTAAAATACACAATATAGACCCTTATATAATCAAAAATAAAGAATAAAATAAATACTCAAACTATCCTTAATATTAAATACTCTAACAGTGTCAACTAGTAAAATTGACACCCACAGTGGCCACTCACACTATGTTGGTATAGAAAAAGGACAATGGACAATGTCATGTTGCCAGGGATGCATGGATCCCAATTGTTTTCCAATAATGTTATAGACATAATCGATTGACTTAATCAATTTATGTCATTAATATCATTGTATCACCGGTAACTCATTCAATTTGAAGTGTTATTGTTAATTTGATAACAACAATGAACATAATGCAATACATTAATTTAGCAAATTAGGATCGAGCAACATTAAAAAACTTAGATAAATAGATCCCAGGAAAAATTCTGATTGTTCAATATGGATAATCAATTGATCAAGGAAATTCAAAAGGTGAGTATGTGGTTTAAGGATAATTATAACTGAAAATAACAAAATAAGAGATTTTTCTAACTTTCTTGTTCGTTGATGAGATCCACTATAAATTTGTAATAAATTAGATTAATAAATTAGTTCTGAATAATATTATTCCAAGATAAAATGACGTCTTAATTATGGGCTTCAATAGTAGATGCTAATCCTTATTTTAACAAGATGGCAGGCTTAGTGTTCGATGAAAGTTCAAAGAGAGTGAAGAACAAAGCCGATCGAAGGATGCTCAGCACGAGATTACCAATCTTTCATCGGAAAATCTAATCTCTATTGCTTGTGAAAGGTGTAACAAGAGGCAACAGGACATATTGATGCCACAAGATATGATAAATGAGAAAATTAACTAAGAGTTCAGACACTGGAGAGGGCAGACATGAACTGTAACTTTGATAAACCAAGACTAAATGCCAAGACACAAAAATAAGGTAAGATCCCATAGCTTGTTCGGCTGGTTTAAAGAGAAAAAAATGGAAATGTTTAAGGTATCTGAGCATAGATATCAATCCTTGAGTATCAATCGTATCAATGTAACAACATGTAGGCTCACCACCACAAACATTGATACATTTCCTTTCCTGGTTTTGGTTTCATCTAAAACAAACTAAGCAAGTCGCAGTAACCCTCTTCTGATGTAGAGTGTGTGAATGGGTGAAACTGGGAAAAATATAACAAACTCTAGCCTGTTGATTATCCTCAATTATTCTAGACAACACCCACTCGATGCTAACTATAATCAATAACATGGTGAAAACGTATATATCAATTCGAAAGTCTATTGCCTTCGTTCTAAATGAGTTCAGGACTTCTCTGCCTCTGATTTTTGTTGGGTCTTTTTCCAAGATACCTTTCTCTTTATTGTTTGCAAAACACAAGTGGCTTGAAGATGACAACTAAGCCCCTGTCAAATCCCAATGCAACCTTTGTGTAGATAGATCTCAGTCTCGGAATATGAATGTCCACCATCAGATGTTAATGGCAGAAACTCTGGTGTTCTGTCCTGGTTGGAACTTCTGTTCGAAGGGAATCCCCCTAGATTCAGTAAGATTGTTTCCCTTTAGATTCAGTACCTTCAGAGTACTGTTTTTTTCAATCAAACATGATGGTCCTGTGCCATGCAAAAAATTGTTAGACAAATCAAGAACTTCAAGTCGACTTGCATTGCATATTGATCCAGGGATGATTACAACAACTTTATTATTCGAAATAGACAAGAAAAAGGCAGAGGGTAGGTGATTTCCGATATCAGTAGGGATAGAAGAGGAAAAATTATTACTTGAGTGATGTATATACGTGGCTGTTCTTGGTGTTATTAGGATTTCTCCATGTAGCACATTGGAATGAAGCTCAATGTAATCGCGACGGTGGATAACATAAGCTTCTTGCAGATTTGAAAAGAGATTGTGGGACAGATTCACAAAACGAAGCCGTCCATTACCAAGTTCCCAAATCCAGTTTGGTATTTCACCATGTAATTGGTTGTCTGAAAGATCTAAAGTCATCAGTCTTGATTGATTTTTCAGATTAGGAAGTTCTTGCAGCTTGCAAGAGGCTAACCTCATTGTTTGTGAATTGGCGAAGTAATGAAAAGGCAGAATTACTACCCATTGCACTGACCAATAAGCTATTGTATGAAAGATCAAGGTCGACAAGATTCTTAAGGTTTTCATATATTTGTAGCTCTATCATGCCATCAAAATTGTTTGAGTGAGAGACTTGCAAAAGCCTGGATTTGGAAGAGAAACTTAGGTGGTGGCCCTTCAAATCTGTTGCTACTCAAATCAATTGCTTCCAGTCCCAGTAGATTGGAAATCGCAATTGGAAATTCACTGATTTGACCAGAGAATCGATTGCTTGAAAGGTATATCACCTTAAGCAGTGACAGGAAAAACAAAGTTGCTGGAATGTTCCCACTGAGGAAATTGTTACTCAAATCAAGAAAAATAAGATTTTCCAGGCATTCCCAGTTGGAGAAAGGAATTCCACATGTTAAATGGTTATTATAAAGGTTTATTTCAGTTAGATTCTTGGACAATCTGAATGATGGAATTGAATTGTTGAAGTTATTTGATGAAAAGTCCAAAGAAACAGTGTGGGTGAGACTTGCAAGTGAATAGGGGATGGGTCCATTAAAATTGCAACTTCTTATTTCTATCCTGGACAACATCCCAAGGTTACCAATGGAAAGTGGTAATCTCACGAAGAATTTTGTGTAACTGAGCACCAAATTCTGAAGAGACCCATTTTCTGGAAATTCTGGCAAAGAACCCTCAAGTAATGTGTTGTTGACAAGTCCAATGTGAGTAAAGTTGGTACCAGGAAGATCTTCTTGGGAAATACTCCAAATAAATCACAAAAACTTAGACTCTTGATAGTCAAATTTGAGAAGTTTGTCAAGAACTCTGGAACTGAAGAAAAGAAAGGATTCCCATACTAAAGCGACCGAAGTTTCACAAGGGAAGGATCGAAAAGGCCTGAAAGATAACGATTGGACATGCTTAACACTTATAAATGAGGAAGTGAAGATGATATGGCATGACAACATTCATACCCTTGACTTGAAATATTTACACCATCAAGGTGGAGTTCTCTAAGCTCTTTTAGGTTTTGAACAAGCATTTTCAGATTTGGGTTTTCAAGTTCCAGTGAATAAAAAGATGTAGAGAGATCTAGAGTGATCAACCTTGTCATTTGTGAAAACTCTCTAGGAATTTGGCCTACAAAGCCTGAATCAGACAAATTTAGATACGTCAAACTGATAAGTTTCCCAAATTCAGGCGGTAATTGTGTAGAGTCGAAATAGTTGTAAGCCAAATTCAGCCAGTGGAGAGACCGAAGACTGAAAAGACTACTTGAATTATCAATCCCACCAGAGATTGATTCGCTGCTAAGGTCCAGGCCGATAACATGAACAGCATAGTCACAATTCACACCACTCCAGCGACAACAGGTCATAGTTTGATTCCATTGCACCAGCTTGGTTGAAATAGAAAAATCAAATGTGAGACTGTTTCTCAACTGAAGCAACAATACTCTCTGATTGCTAAGACATTGGCCAGTCACCAATATAACATCCATGCTGGGGATGTTAAACAGAATGGTTATCGCAAAAAGCGATAAAAAGAATTGAATCCTCATTTCAATGCAATTTCGACCGGGATGGTGATCTGAGGGAGTATAAGTAAAGAACCAAATGCTGTCAGATTCAGAGCTGAGGGAGTATAAGTGGAATGTGGCTTATCGCACTTGGCCTATGGAGGCACAGATATAATCAAGCATCGTGAACAAGCACTTACATGTGTTAATGCATCACTAAATGATAGAGATAAGGACACCAAAGACACATTGGACATCTTAAATTCTGAGACTATTTCAACCACTCCATATACCTTTGCAAGCAATGCTCCGGGCCTTTCTCTTCCATATCTATCATGCCATTATTGTAGAGATAATGCACCTTTTTTGGTTTATAAACAAGAATGGATCGTACAGATCTTTCACACGAGTGTTATGAAGATTGGTGTGCAGACCTCGACAGCTCACTATGAAGATTGGTATTGTAAATCTTTGATTGTCAAATATACACGGGGTTTCTCCCGTATAAATTGAAATCCTGTCATTTGGAAATGTACAGTGAAAAAATAGAGAGTTCGAACAACTTTCATTTATATTCTTTACAGAAATATAAAACACCTTTAACATGATGTAATAAAGAAAAAAAACTACTCATAATTCATGAATTCATTTTATTTGAATTTTGAATGTCATCCTTGTTAAACAATCTAAAGACATACAAGAGATAAGAAAGAGAGGAAACTAGAGTTTTATTAATACTACATAATTTTAATTGAATACAAGGGAATAATCTAACATAAATACAAAGAGACTATATATAAGTTAAACAAGGTAGGAAAAGTAAAAGACTATTCTACCCTTAATAAATAAAATAACCCTATATTTCTTAACATCTCCCCTCAAACTCACGATGTAGCAGCGACAAGCATCGAGAGTTTTCCAACTAGAAAACGAAAACGGGAAATAGAATGCGACTTGGTAAAGAAATCTGCAATCTGCAAAGAAGAACAAACAAAGGGAAAAGTAATGGTGTCATGCTTGAGATGATGACGAGTAAGGTGACAATCGATCTCAATGTGCTTAGTTCGTTCATGAAAAATCGAGTTGTGAGCAATCTGAATAGAACTCCGGTTGTCACAATACATAGGAGTGAGATGAGAAAGAGAAACTCTCATATCTACAAGTAACCAACGTAACCAAACAATCTCTTTGGTAGTAGATGTCATAGCACGATATTCTGCTTCGGTTGAAGATTGAGAAACAATAGATTGTTTCTTGCTCTTCCAAGAAATAAGAGAATCACCCAAAAAGATACAGAAACCAGTAACAGATTTGCGATCTGTGGGATCACTGTCATGATCAGCATCAGAGTATGCACACAGCTCCAAGGAAGAGGTGGATGGAAGTAAAAGACTCTGAAAGACTGTACCCCGAAGATACCTCAAAATACGAAGAACCGCTGCCCAATGAACTGTAGTAGGAGAAGCAACAAACTGACTAACAACATGAACAACATATGCAATATCTGAACGAGTAATAGTGAGATATACCAAGCTCCCAACAATAGTACGGTATAAAGTAGGATCTGACAAAGGTAAACCATCAGAAGAAGAATACTTTGCGTTAACCTCAATGGGAGTATCTACAGTCTTATTATCAGTAAGTCTAGCTCGCTCAAGAATATCTGCAACATATTTCGACTGAGAAAGAAGATAACCTCTGGGTGAGCAGGCTACCTCAATACCCAAGAAATATCGTAGAGAACCCAAATCCTTCATTTCAAACTGTATAGCCAACTCTGTCTTCAAAACTGAAATACCATTAATATTATCACCAGTAATAATTATGTCATCAACATATAAAGACAGAATGATACGACCTGCATCAGTGCACTTAACAAAAAGAGCAGAATCATGATTACTAGAAGTAAACTCAAGGGAAGAGATCACAACAGAAAATTTCTCAAACCAAGCACGAGGTGCTTGTTTGAGACCATATAACGCTTTCTTGAGCTTGCAAACATACCCAGAATCATGTGAAACACCAGGAGGGGGAGTCATATAAAAAACTTCTTGAAGATCCTCATTCAAGAAGGCATTTTTAACATCAAGTTGAGAGATATGCCACTGACGAACCGAAGCAACTGCAATAAGAGTACGAATTGTAGTCATTTTTGCAACAGGAGCAAATGTCTCCTCATAATCCATACCATACTGTTGAAAGTACCCTTTTTCAACCAACCTAGCTTTGTATTGCTCAACAGATCCATCAAAATTGGTCTTAATCTTATACACCCACCAACAACCAACAACACTCTTACTAGGAGGTAGAGGAACCAAATCTCAAGTACTTGTCTAATGCAAAGCAGAAAGTTTCTCATTCATAGCTTGCTGTCAAAGAGGGTCAAGAATTGCCTCTTTATAGGAAGAGGGATCAGAGAGACAATGAATAAAAGCTAAAAAGGAAGTAAAAGATGAAGAATAACAAGAATAAGTAAAATCTGGTAACTTTGTGGACTTACGAATGCGTGTGGATTGACGTAGAGGTGGATTCACAATCTCAGACGGAGCTTGAGGGACCATAGNATATCGAGACCCTCCTTTTGTGGTAACAGGAGAAGGTCCCCATATATCAGAATGAATCAAATCAAATGGAGAAGAAGAAATAGAAATACTTCGATTAAAAGGTAAAGCTGAAAATTTTGCCAGTTTACATCCACTACAATCAGAAATATCACAAATTTTCAAATTTCCTAAAGCCCCTGTGGATGCCAAAAATCTCAAACGAGAAGACGAAACATGACCTAAACGAGAATGTCATAAATAAAAACTAGAAAAAGAAAGACTCAAACGAAAAGAAGATAAATCAACACTAGTAATAGCAACAGTAACTGACACTTTTAACTCATCCAAAATATATAGTCCTCCCTTCCTACAGCCTGTCCCAATCAGTTTCTGAGACTGCAGATCCTGCACATAACAAGAAGAAGAGGAAAATGTGACTAAATTTCTAGAATCACATAACTGACCAACAGAAGCAAGATTTAATGTGAGTTTTAGAATATGATAAACATTAGGGAGAGACAAGTGAGGTGTGACAACAGAACCAACACCTGTTAAAGACATAAGAGTGTCATCAGCAGTCATAACAGGAATAGAAGATGAAAGAGATACAAAAGCAAAAGATGAAGAATCTGGAGACATATGATGTGAGGCACCAGAATCCAAGACCCATACATAATGTGACATGCCTGGAGAACTATGAGGCAACTGACCTCCTGAAGAAGAAGCAGACATAGCTTGTGGCTGTAAGGAGAGAAATTTATGAAATTGCTCAACCAAGGTACTAGAATCGGTGAAAGGACCTGATGAAACTATTGCTGCATTATTAGACTGTGGTGGTTTGTAATCCTGAGGTGGTCTAGAAGAATTAGATTGTGACTGGTTGCTAGACTTCTAAGCTTGAGATTGCTGTTGCGACTGATTCTGTTGTCCTAACTTGGGACATTGAGCCTTCCAATAACCTTTCTGCTTACAGAAACTGCACTCGTCGAAGGCAGGTCTTGTGTAAGGCTTATTCGGATTATGAGAGAATGGTTTAGAAGGTACTACTAGCACAGAAGGATCAGCAGTAGAAAGAATTCCCTTGTCAGAATAAGACTTAAGACGTATCTCTTTAGCCAATAACTCACTGACAACTGAGTCAACTGAAGGAAGTGGAGAACGAAGCAAAATTGAACCTCTAAGTCCTTCAAAATCACTACGAAGTGTCATCAAAAACTGTACCAACCGNATCACTGACAACTGAGTCAACATAAGGAAGTGGAGAACGATGCAAAATTGAATCTCTAAGTCCTTCAAAATCACTACGAAGTGCCATCAAAAACTATATCAGTTGTCGCTGCTCTTTACGAGCAATATAGGCACCACATGCCTTTAATTCAGTAGATTCTGTAAGAGCCAATTGATCCCAAAGATCTATCATAGCAAAATAAAACTCCTAAATACTCATGTTCTTTTGTTGAAGAACTCGTATGTCATGCTCCAATTGATACTACTTTGCAAAATTTGATTGAGTGAATAACCTTTGCAGATGATCCCAAACCTCCTTTGTTGTCTCATTCTTTGCCAACTGCGTACCTATAGAATGCTCAACATAATTGTTGATCCAAGTAATAATTTTTGCATTGTCTGCTTCCCAGACATCTATCAAATCAGCATAACCTGCATCAGTATTCTTAGGTTTCACAGAAATTTCACTAACATATCCCCATAGCTTTTTACCCTTAAAAAAATTTCTCATCACATAACACCAATACGAATAATTCTTTTCATCCAACCTCACACTCACAGACTGAAGCGAATTGTCTCTTGCAGTAGCCATAATTAACAAACAAAGAAAACCAGATTGCAAAAAGGGAACCAATACCAGATTGCAAAAACAGAACAANATTAACATATCCTCATAGCTTTTTACCCTTAAAAACAATTTTCATCACATATCACCAATACGAATAATTCTTTCCATTCAACCTCACACTCACAGACTGAAGCGAATCGTCTCTTGCAGTAGCCATAATCAACAAACAAAGAAAACCAGATTGCAAAAAGGGAACCAATACCAGATTGCAAAAACATAACAAATACCAGATTGCCAAAAAAAAATGGAACAAATATCAGATTGCCAAAAACGGAAAAAATACCTTCTCAAATACCAGATCCGCGTAAACTGTGTTTAAGATTAAGCCTTGTCCCATGAAACTTTGCTCTGATACTATATTAAACAATCTAAAGACATACAAGAGATAAGAAAGAGAGGAAACTAGGGTTTTATTNAAAATGGAACAAATATCAGATTGCCAAAAACGGAAAAAATACCTTCTCAAATACCAGATCCGCGTAAACTGTGTTTAAGATTAAGCCTTGTCCCATGAAACTTTGCTCTGATACTATATTAAACAATCTAAAGACATACAAGAGATAAGAAAGAGAGGAAACTAGAGTTTTATTAATACTGCATAATTTTAATTGAATACAAGGAAATAATTTAACCTAAATACAAAGAGACTATATATAAGTTAAACAAAGTAGGGAAAGTAAAAGACTATTTTATCCTTAATAAATAAAATAACCCTATATTTCTTAACAATCCTTACCTGTATATTGNGAAATAATTTAACCTAAATACAAAGAGATTATATATAAGTTAAACAAAGTAGGGAAAGTAAAAGACTATTCTATCCTTAATAAATAAAATAACCCTATATTTCTTAACAATCCTTACCTGTATATTGATTTTTAATTTGGGTGGAGAGTATATTTTGTTTGTCAATTGTCATGACCTTTACTTTCACAAGTTTGATTGCACAAATAACAAAAGCAATTTGTAATAAAATAAAGCACCATATAGCTTGACTGGCTAATTTTATTATCATGGGAGTTGTGTATGATAACACTTGAGAATCAAACATGGTATTGTTAAGAGTGAAACACTTTGCAGAAGGCTCCCCATAGACAGTGACACGTATTCTAGAATTGCTTTCTCCCTCAATTTCTTAATTGTAACGGCATGCTAAGCCCTATGGTTACAACTCGTTCATGAGGTTAGTTTAATTTCCACATTGAAAATTCCAGAACCCATATGTGTAAAAATTGGATTGTCATACACAAGTCTTGAAACTTAAGTTCAGAGACAAACTTCTAAGAATATATTTGCATATAGAAGTGGAAATTCTCGCAGCCACTGGTTTTGTGGCTCTATGTTCTGGAAGTCCTGCAAGATTTATTAAAATGAAAAAGCTAGACGTTGCTTTGCTTGTAGACTCATTGGATGTCTTCATGCATTGTCTATAGTTATGTATGATATAGTGCTAGCAGCCAAAAGCATTTATATGACTATGAAATGCTAAACACTTATCAAGAAATTATTGAGTTCTCGTTCACACCAGGACATTGAGGGCATTAAGATAACCCATCTCCTAAACAAATTAGAATGATGTCTCACTCTCTTCTAATTTGTGACCCTCTTACTTTGTGACGTGATGTTCTATTGGCTTGCCACCAAGGTTACCTTGCACAAGGAAGTTACTAGTATGTAGCATTCAAATATTTGTTAAAATATATTGGATAGCAGGTCAGAGTCTTGAGTTTGGTGATTGCACCAGAGGGGATTGAAATGGACTTCAATCTTGTTTTCTTCCTTTTTTGTTAAAAAAAAAAAAAAAATCTTTGAGAGATTAGTTAAATTTCCCTTATCATACACATCTAGCATTTTCACTGTGCTGCTTTTATTTATTCAGAAATTCGACTTTCATGGTTCAATACTTTCATGCAGTGACCTGCTACTAGAGTAAGCATAGACACATCTCTTGCCTGATTTTGCTTTCAGTTGAAGCAAATCAAGCCAAGTGCCCTACTTGCTGTGCTTCACTTCATCACCCCTTATGTCTTCGAATTGGATTTCTCCGGGGTCTTCTTCCGCGGTTTTTTCTCCCTTGCTCTTGCCGATGGAGAATCTTGAAAACAATATGGTCAACGTACTTGTAGTACCATTCTCTCCATCTTTTACAAAACAAAAGTGGTCCCACAACAATTCCCAAGCCCGTAATGAATCCACATTCAACAG